TTGGTTGCATATGAGAAAAGTTTAAATGATTGATAGCTTGGGTGTTATTCCAAAAGACTGCGTTTAAGGAGTGAAATGTAAAAATATGTTTAAACTTTAATTTCTAATGTAACATAAAGGTAAAATAATTAATTTTTAATTATGACTCATTTGGTAACACTGTAATTGGTTGAATTGGTTGATTTCGCTAAAATGATTAAGTTATGGCTAAAACGATTGAATTGGACGAATTTTATAAATTATGGGAAAAAATAGCAATATATTCTACTAATAAAATAAAGTAAAAATTATATGAAAAATAGTTAAAATTGTCTTCTATAGTAACTTCATGCAATTATATCATAGAAGTAACTTTCACCTTACTTATTTTGATTATTACACAATTCAGCACGCGAATTCAAACCTTACATATTTAGTGAAAATTGACACATAAAATTCATAACTCCAAGACAAGGGTTACTACTTACTAAACACGTCAATATAGCATAAACATATTACGTATTAAATATTTAATATATATGATGCCAACATTTGATAGGGAGTATTATAGAGGTAATGTTTATAAATATAAAAAGGGAAAAATAGTCATTTGAATGCTGAAATGACAAACAACAAGATAGATCTTTACATTTAGGCACGTGTAAGGCACTACTGGTAAGTGCTCTATTTTGAGTGGTTTGTTGCTACATTTATCACAACACAAAGGGATTCCATGCATTTTTCAAAACACAGATAGATAACACACCTATTAATGATATCACAAAGGGATTCTATGCATTAACCCCATTTGCCCCAAACTTTAACAAAACAACTTTTTCCTTCTGATTTCTCACGTAAATTCAAAGTTCACAAATCCACCAAGACTGGGTAAATAAATACGTACGTATGATGTTTTCTTTTGGATTGAAATTTGTTGGTCTGGTCTGATCTGTTTAAGTCTGATCTGGTCTAGTCTGGTCTATTTAAGTCTGGTCTGGTCTGATCTGGTCTGAACCGGTCTGGTAAATGTCTGGTCTCTGTGTATTTTATAACTACGGAAGTCTGGTTTGGTCTGGTCTGGTCTGATCTGTTTAAGTCTGGTCTGGTCTGGTCTGGGACTGAAAACAGTCCAAAAGAAAAGATCTCTAGTAGTACTTTATAATTCGGTCAAATAAAAAAAATGCAACAGGAGAATTAGCTAAAATCACTGCCAATGATTGCTGTCGCCTTTAAATATGGACGGTAACCACGGAACAAAAGTGAAAATTCAAATTCAAAAGTGGAGGTTGGGAGTGAGTTGGTCACTTTGACTTTCTTTCTTCATTCAGTTGTTCAAACGTGTGAATTAGCAGAATGGCGAAAAAACAATTCTGATACCTAATCTTTAATTACTCCGTATATTACTTGTTTTTGTGTATTATACTATTCTTGACTTTTTTTACAAATATAATTTTCTTGACTAAAAACTACTGTTTTAGACTTTTAGGGTCAGTTTGCATACTAAATTGAAAACTTTTGATATCACTCATTAATTATGCATAGTCAAATGGGTAAGAATCAAGTTAGGTTTGTGATTGAATGAATTAAATTTGTTACCGAGAACAAATTTTGCTAATTTGTCTCGCACAAGTGTTCTTCATTTCATTAATTGTTGGTGCATGGATTTGACATAGGCATGTCAATGAATCGGGGCGGGGCGGGTACTGCAAGACCCAGACCCGCCCCGTGACTTGGCGGGGCGGGTCCGCCCCGCCCCGTGACCTGCACGGGTCCAAACTTGTTGACCCATGACCCGCCCCGCCGTAACCTTATTACTCCGTAGTTAGTATGTATTTTTATTTGTGTGAAATTGTTACCAATTGAATCTACATAAAGTTTATCTCTAAATAATAATTAAAAATTAATATATTAAATCAAATTCATGATACCCTAAAAATTTCAAAAATTAAGGAAATATTACTCAGACTTGAATAATTAATCAATTTAATTATATTAATAATTGAACATATGTATTAAAATGCTATATATAAAGAAGACATTGATAATCTGTCGTTCATCAAATTCTAATATATGTATTAATATATTATAAGATCAAAGAATTTATGACTTACTGTATACACACATATGTATGTTAAAGTATATTTGTAGTATACTTTAAGAAAAAGTATGTATACTTATGTATTGAGCGGGTCGGGTCCGGGCGGGTCGGGGCGGGTCAGGGCGGCACGGGTCAATACTATTACCCGGACCCTCCCCATTGTATAGGCGGGGCGGACCCGCCCCATTTGGAAGACGGGGCGGACCAGACCCGCCCCAAATGTCTCGGGCCAGGGTGGGTCACTGTGGGTCGTTTTTTTTACATTCATAATTTGACAGCATCCAAGAAGCTTAACAACAACAATAAATGACGTCTTTATTAGGTTTAATGCTAGCTAATTATTATAACAATTTTATTTGTATTATTATAGCTATTGATGTAATTAAAGCAACAATTACTTAGAAGGGCTAATCGGCATTAATGACGACATGATGGCGACTTTGAATGTCGTCGTAACGGTCGAAACCGTCAACAACAGACAAAAAGGTATTGATTGCCCCTCCTATAAGTAGTATCGAGCTTAGTTGTAAGAGGACACATCCGATTCGAATTACACATCCATTTACACTCTACTTTGCTCTCTTAACCTTGTTTTCTTGTTGTTCTTGTCACCTTCTTTACCATTCTTGTACGAGGCCCAATCAATATACAATTTCCATTTTAATTGGTTTTAGTTTGTCAAAAATTTGCTAAAACATTAATAAAATATGGTTTAAATAGAATTTTATTCGGGAAGAGTACGGAAAAAATATATATAGTTAGGCGTGTTTTAATATAACAGAAAAAATATATATAATTCTTTGTGTTTCATTTCATCACAAAATAATCCCGTGTTTTCATTCTGTATTTCTGTTATTACTCTAGGGGTTCGACACCTAACGCCGTTGAAAATTGCCGTAGGAAGACGATAAAGGATATCTCCGAGTTTTAAAAGTACCTCAAAATTCACATTTTTATCCATTGAGTTTTGTTATTTATTAGTAATATTTTAGAAAAACCTCAATTTTTTTTAAAGTACAATGTTTCACGTCAAAGAGAGACCTCCACAAATGTGAGGACTGAGGAAAGACTATGTTATGGTTAATACTAACAAGACTTGTTATCACACACTTAAGTGACGGTGCAAATAAGGAAAATGCACAAAATTAAGAAAATCTATTAAAAGTAACTATGGAGTTGCTTGTTTGACCAGAATAAGTCAATAACAAATTGCCCATTCCCATTTCAAACAGATAAGTGCCACCTGATTCTCCATTGCAATCTGTAACATATATCTTCGGGATGGCATCAATGCTACGATTTGTTGTGGTAACAATCAAATAAATCTAATTTATTCTTCAAATTGTCGCATATTTCAAAGAATCATTGCATATTTGGCGTAAATATAAGCAAAACTTAATTGTTACCATTAGAAACAAAGTTTAAACTATAGGATAGCCTCACAAAATCTTTGCAAACCGTACTAACTACTAATAAGTAACAACTGAATTCACATGAATAAGTGTTATGTCTCGTGTCGAGCACAATCATATTTCGAGTTTGACTTGAGCTCGTTAAGGTTTGCTTTCATTTTCATGCTCGTACTCGGCTCATTAAGAGTCATGTATAGCTCGAGCTCGACCTTCTAAGATACCCAACTTTGAGTAGCTCGAACTGAAGCTCATAATTACCTTCTAAACGAATTGAATATATGTGTTGGAACAACATTTTTGCGCTACTCATGAGTCCCCATGAGCTTTATAAGCCTATTGGGTAGAGCAGATAGGCTCGTAATCTGATGGAGTAGCACATTGAGCTCGAGCTTGACTCGTTTGAATGCACATACAACTCGAGCTTGGATGTATGTTATTGGAGATGTTTGGTTTATAACGTCTCAGGCTAAAATGTTAATAATTTCCAAGTGGAAACGCTACATTTTGGAGCGTCTTGTACCAATCCGCCCAAAAAACAAACAAACCCATTATCATCATCCCAATTTTATTCTCAATTTAAATTAACACACTAATAAATAAAGTGGCAATGTATACTCATGTTTAATATGGAAAAACGTGCTGTGACGCTAATTGCTTTATTAAAACTCCGAATTATGCCACGTCATCGTGACAACAGCCAGAACTAGGGGTGGTTCGGTACGGTATACCTTATATTTTTTCTCATACCTTTGCCGTACCAAAACTTTCGGTATGCAAAATTTGCATACCTTTACCTTACCGAAGTTTCGGTATACCGCATTTCGGTATACCGAAGTTTCGGTTCGGTAACGTTACGGTATCGGTAAATTACCGTGCATGTCTCCCAATACAAAAAATTATCATAGACTAACGAAATATACTAAATCTTTATTACTAGCGACATATTAAATCTATTATTAAAATGTTACGAAATACAATTAATAATCTATTGATGTCAATTCAATATTGAACAATAATTATTATTTGTATATTTAAGCAGTTCAACATACCACATACTATTAAAAAGTAACACATTCTCCTAAAATAACTTGAACAATATAGATATAATTAAATCAATAGCGATCTCTAACAAAAATAAATAAAACTATTCAAACAACATGGATATAAAATCATTTATTCCTAATATGATATTGTGTATTTAGTCATTTTTATAATTTTTTAAAGATTGAATAAGACTTTCGGACAAAGTTGTGTGTCTCGACTCGCTGAATCCCTATGTAGATACACTTGTCACATAAGTGTATCTCTCTTCACTCGTCAGCTACTTAGCGCCCAACCATCACGACTTGCAAGCTCTTGGAACAAGATGGACTTGTTTCTTGACATTTGTACATTACTCATTAGTAATTTAAGATTAGCGTAGTAGAAGCCTATAAGGTTATAGTGAGTTTGAGAAATTGGGCCTTTATTTTTGTATTTTTGTATTTGTAACCAACTTAATTATTAATTTTGGGCTTCAAAATTGTAATGGATTTCTACATTATATTAGAATTAAAAGTAATTGTTGAGTAGGGAGTCGGTACGGTATTATATCGGTATACCACGGTATTTGAAAACATTTACCGTTACCGTACCAAAATAGACCGGTACGGTATGATACCGTACCGAAAATGACGGTATACCAATATTTCGGTATTTCCCGGTATTTTTCGGTACGGTAAGTGCGGTATACCGATATTTCGGTATTTTTGCCCACCCCTAGCCAGAACTGAGAATATGTAGTACAGTAATTGGTACTAATTCGTAAATTAAATGCACCCTGTGGGTCCCAGAACCGGTAAATTAATCGACTAATTCGAGAAGTTCGGAATGGTGGCCCCAGGCGCGCACGCTTTGGCCTCGGGAGACGGCTCCACGGCGGGTGACGGCGGCACCGGCGTGCCGCATAGCTCCGCCGGCAGATCAGGAATACCCTTCAAGTGGAAAGTGTAGAAGAGCTTGAACGGGAAAATGAGTTGCTGGAGCTTGACCTGACCGGAGACTCCTTCAAAGATCCCAGATCCGCCGGTGACCGCCAAAGTGGTGTCCTCATACGTCAGGTACTGCCCCTGAACGGCGAGATGGCCGTAGTCGCCGAAGTAGAAGCTGTAAATCGCTTCGTAACGGTCGCCTTTCTTCTCCTCTTCGTGCTTGATCAGAATACACAGTCCGGCGGTTATCCCTACCCTCTTCTGCAAATCGCCGGTGTACAACTGACGGAGAAAACAGAGCAGCCATAAAAAAAGATCAGTTTTTTATCACTTTGGCATGACTAATTTCTTCATTACAAAATTTGAAACAATTATATAAACCTTGTTGGAGAATGGGACTAGGTCGCCGAGAGTGTTGACTGTTTGTTTGCTCAGCCGGAGATACGCCGGACTGCCACGATCACGCTCGTTGATCTCGTACAGATGCAGTTCTTGAACTTTGGCTGTCACCCATTTTTTAAATAACTTCAGAATCATTGATATTAACTGTGGAAATTAAACATAGAAAACATTTAACTCTTAACAATTTCAGCTTACCGGATGGGCTGGCGAGGCAACTGACGGTGAGCGATTTCCTGGAGGTGGCGCCGGCGGCCGGGGTGCTGATGCGGAGACTATTTCTTGAAACCAAAGGGTTAAATGGCTGGGGTTTTAGAAGTGAGCGGAGAGAGGTGGGGTAGGCTGAAGGGTGCTTAGCAGAGGAAGAAATGGCTCTGAGAGTGGAAGAAGAGGAGGAAGCATGAGTAGCAGCCATGGCTGAGGAAGATGAAGGAGAAGTGTTTGATCAAATGCCTGAGAGAAAGTCGAAAGTTCACAGAATTTTTCTTTTACCGACGCGGTTTTCAATTATGAATGGGCGTGACTAATTATAGGAGGGAGGCAGGGGGATGATGATGATGTGAACATGCATATACAGCACATCACGAAATAGTGGTCGGTGTTTTCCAGCTTTTTAGTTTTTACTCCTCGATTGATGCTAATGTCACTGCATAATCATAGGAACAGAATGTTTAAACTTCAACAAACTGAAAGTGTGCTTTTTATATTGCATTTCTTTACAACAAACTTTCTTACAGAAAAAACTCAAGATAAAATCACCTTCCAGCAAAATCTATTATATTTTGACTCTGTGCATAGTGCACTATTAACAGGCCAAAAAAACAATCTTTTTTACAAGCCAACAAAGTAAGGGGTGTATCCTAAAGGGACGGTGGTAGATTTTTTAATAGCAATGAGTAAACTCACCCGTGATGCACGGTTTGAGAATATTTCTTTCAAATTTATGTGTGTTTAGTAATTCAAATCACACTATAAATTGATGACAACATCTGTCTTCATGTATTACTAATTTACATCAAAACATTAAAGGAAACACACTTATAACATTATGGTCAAAATGTGAGTACTAAGCATTACTTAAAAGATAAAAAACATCCAACAAATACGTTGAAATCATAACATTGTAAATATGCATTCAATGTAAACCTAAACATTGTTGAACACTTCTTTGAACACAACATTCTGAGTCTTGTCAGTGGTTCCTTCATCTTCATCAACAATTAGAATTTTCAAACCACAACGATTGGTAACCCTTGATACTGCAACGTACAACTGTTCGTGGGTAAATACCAGTTTTTTCAACAACCCAACATGGACAAAAATTTACCTTGACTTTTATTTAGTCATAGCATATGAAGCCATAACATGATATTGTCGCCTATGAAATTTGAAAGGCAAGTTGGCATGGATGGCGTCAAGGACAATCTAGGAATTAATATTTTTTGTCCAACACTCACACCAGTTAAAATCTTCCTCTCCAAAACATGATCACTGAGCCTCGTTAGAATAAGATGTGCCCCGTTACACAACCCCATTAAATGATCGATATTTCGCAAAAGCATCACCGGGCTTATATCTGGTTTGTTTAAATTTGGTTTGGGCTGAGACTGAAATAGGTCCAAGTATAAACATCTCAAGTAATATGATGATTATGCATTTATACGAATTGCATTTCTTACACGAAATGTCCGAGTAAATTGGCAAATTAGGGGGTGTGCAAATATGTGAAAGTGTTTATGACATTATTAAACAATACTCAAATATGAATTTGTGAGAAAATGTTAGTTGAGTCCGTATATGAAAAGTAATGCTATCATTTAAGCACAATAACTTTCGAAATACATTCAATCGGGTAGAATCTATAGTAGTTCTTAATTCAAAAATAAGTACAACTTCAGTGCGATGCTCGGTTGGTGAAATTTAAAGGGCGAACTCAAATTAGAAAAGGTGACATTTATTTATAGTCATTATATAATAAGTCATGTTTGGATAGTATAAAAAAGTGTATATGTAAAATACATTAAATTTAAAAACTTCAAAAATAATGTGGAATATGAAATAATTCCAAATAAAGCCAAAATATAGAGTTTAGCATTTGTAGATTGCTGAAATATTTTATTTATATTTATTCATATTTTATCATTTTTAGAGTTCTTTAATTTTAAACAGACGCAATTGCACTAAAACGGTTACATCGGGACCTTGGATGACTTTACGGAAGTAGACATCCATGATATATATTAATGAAAGATGGTGTATTTTTTAACTTATGGTCCATAGCTATAACACAAAAATCAATACGGAGCAGTTTTTATCTAGAGCCTAAAAGAGACACTGAAATCCACAGATTTTGGCATTGACCCAAAAAGTGAAACCCAAGCCAATTTCAACAGGCCCGTCCAGAGCAGCCCAAAATTCCACGTAAAGCCAATAAACGGGCCGTTGGAGGAACCCAAAAATTGGTGTAAGCCCAATAAAAGAGCGTATATAACTAAACGCTGAAAGCGACTCCTCCTTCAAACCCTCCATTTTCTTCGCCGACACAAACCCACCCTCGACATTTCTTCCCACTGAACTCCAATGAAGTTCATCCGCGGTTCATCCAGGCGACGGGAAAAAGAAGAGGTCCTCACACATCATCGACCTCGATCTTCTCAGCCCGTATCCCAGCGTGCAGCCACAACCGAACGAACATCGGCATAATCTGGCGTCACTCCGCGCTATCAGTTACATGGCAACGGTAATATCTGATTCCCTACACTAACGCAACCACGTTGTCGATTACATGTTTTTCTAAAGAATAAACAACTTAAAACTGTTTCTTTTTTGAACTACAACATACCAACTCTACAGGAAGTTCCATGGCCATGGCTCCACACACTTTTCATTCTTCCGCCTAGAATTGCATGTCAGCGGTAAGATCTAAATCTGTCCAACTCACGAACCACATCGTCATTTAGGATGTTTTTACTTGGACTGTAATTTGCCCCAGACCAGACCAGACCAGACCAGACTAGTTCAGACCAGACCAGACCAGACTTGGATAGTTATAAAAATACAAAGAAACCAGACCTTACCAGACCAGTTCAGACCAGACCAGATCAAACCAGACCAAACCAGCAAATTACAGTCCAAGTAAAAACATCCTTACACGTTTTTTCACTAATAAGCAATCACCAACCGATTTTATATGAACCACATCATCCAAACCTTAAGTCTGTGTTTATGGTTTGAATTCGTTTTCATATAAGATTATGTTGATAATATTTTTTTTTATAAAAGATTCGTTGTAACAACAATCATACGCATACATGGTTATCCACATAAAATGTAGATCATGTTTGACTGATTGTAAAAATAACTGTTTTGAATCATTTAATAAGACAAAAAAACTGATACAGAACTTTAAGGTATACCCAACAGATTTGTTTAAGTTTTTAAGCGCTTTTATCGTGTAAAGTAATCAGTTATTTTATGGATAGTTTTAATTTTGACACTTCCGAAAATGTAAAAAAAAAATCAAATAATTTGAGAGTATAGTTTTTGGTTTACGGAATGGATTTAAACCTTCCTTTTATAATTGGTTTTAGATACAGATTTTAATATTCATTTTTTAAATTAAAATAAAACTTAAATTAAATAACCCCAATATTAAAAAACAATCCATGAACCAATTTAGTCACTTGAAAAAAGGCGGTCGTCTCCCTAGCAATTAGGGTTGGAAGTGGCGCAGCTTTGCGTTCGTTCGTGTTTCTTCGGCTTTGGGATTACGCCGGGTTTTGGCGATTCCCTTAGCGTCTTCTTGTTTTATTGTTTTGCAGGTTTTTCTTCTTTCGGCTTTGGGGGTTTTGAGAAGGAGACTGCAGGATACCGCTATTCATCGTCCGCTGATGAGATCGACGATCAGATGGAATCCGAGAAGCGTTGTGATTATTGGGAACAACAATTCTGTCGAGTGAGTCACACGCAATCCGAACGGGGTGCGAAGACGGATATGGAGGAGATGATCATCAAGTGTGCTAACATGATTCTTGAGGGTGATGAAGATGATCTGTTTCTGGACGAGGAGGTCACGGGCGAGGAAGAGGCTCCGAACAGGAGTCTACGGGCAAAAGAAGACGAAGAAGTGTTGATCTGTCCCCCTCCTGAGCTACCGCCAAGGATGATGCTTGAAGCAGGGATTCGTTTTCGCTGTTAGTTTAGTTTATTTAATTTCGTTTTACTCTCGTTGAGTTTCTTTGACATGACGAGTTCTGTCGTTGTTGCTTTCTGTATTGTCGTTTTCAGTCAGACTCTTACATTAGGTAGGGGTGATGGAGGTTTTGCTTTAGCCACGTTTGGCTCATTTAGACCCATTATAGGACAAACGAATCATATTGCTCTATACAGGGTGATTGGTTCTTCAGCTGGTCCGAGGGTCGGTGGCTGGAAGTATTTCCTTTGTCGTTTGTATCCCTTGCTGAGTGTTTTATTATCAATATAAGCCCCCTTGTTACAAAAAACAATCCAGTCTTATCTTTAGAGACTTCCACCACTTTTAAAATTTTACACCTGGCAACCACACCTCATTAAAACACCACTCATTACAACTAATTGGCTTTAGTTGTATGAGCAAATTGGATGTATGCCTGCGGTTTATATAAATTAGCAAATTGATCAATATGCATGTGTAATAATAAATATAAAATACAATTTTCAAGTCTTCTTAATTACAACTTTCATTTGGAATGCATGTGTATGGATATATTTTCTCTAAGTGACCATTGTTTCTGTGTTTTGTACCCCTTTGTAATTTAAAATCAATTTTATTTATCTCAATTTGCAAGTTTGGGATGTAATAATTTAATAATTAGGCTTAGATTAGGATAAAATTAGGACTGGAGCAGAGGCAGTGATTCCATGTATATCTCTTGAACCCACTTTTTTTTATCCACCTTACAATTATAACATTATTACTCTATTTTTTAAAACCATTCTATTATATTCAATGTCTAGCAAAATTTTTATCAATGTCGAACATGTCAAGGAATAGGGAGACAAAAAACATCATTATAAAATGTGTAACATAAAAATTTAATAGTGATTTCATTAATCACAAACTTATATTAGTTGAATAACAAATGAATCCCAACTTCAAACTCTCTAAGACAACTATAAGAAAACTCATAGTATTTAGTCTTGTAAATAAGTAGGTTGATATTACAAAGTAGAGTGTATTCTCTAAAGTTGATTGAGCCACAAACATTTTTGGAAGGAATTGAGATGTTGTCTTTCTACCAATTAGAGCTCCGTACAACACTACAACTCATCTCACATATATACTACTATGTATTAAACACTACATACCTAAAACACATAGATTTATCCCTGGCAACAATATCACCATTTAGTCTTTCTCGATCTTAACACCCTTCATCTTCTTCAATGACATTGTTGAAAAGAATTCTCCAAAAATCTCTCTCTTCACTTTGTCCCCAATCAGCTTCTAGGGCAATCCTCTTTCTTTGTTCAACAATGTGCTGGT